ATTCCCTGGAGAAGGATGTCATGCTTGGTAAGGTGGAGGGTCGACGAAAGAGGGGAAGGCCTTCAATGAGATGGATTGACATGGTGGCTGCGACAGTGGGCTCAAGTATAACAAGGATCTTGGAGCTGGCACAGAATCAGGCAGTGTTTCGTTCTGCTGTGCATGGGGTCGCTATGAGTTGAAACGACTTGACGGCACCTAACAACAACAACAACATACACCTATGTGTACCCCTATGCACATATTTTTTATTGTTTCTGCCGTTGTTTCAAAATTATATATACCATAGCAATTACCAACAGCTCTTTTCATTTGTATACATTTTTATTGACATCATTTACATTCCTCAAGCCGTGTACTCTTCATATTCATGTGATGTTACCATTCCGTTCACCAAAATTAACAAATGTCTACTATCTAGAGAGTGAATCCTTCTCCCCTTTCATCCCTGGTAACCACTAATAAACATTAGCTTCTGTATATTGTATATTTGCCTGTTCTTGGCATTTAATGAAAGTGGTAACACACAATATTTATTTATTTCTTTTTTCTTTTTTTTTTTTTTTTTTTATTAGGATTTGGGTGAAGATTTACAGAGTAAATTCACTTTTCATACAGCAGTTCACATATACTTTGTCTCATGTCATTGACCAAAATTTACAATGCAGCAGCTCCCCTCCCACTTCCTCCCCATAGTTACCTCCTCCCAGTGTCCATCCCTTCATACTCTTCGAGAGGCCCATTTTCTGCCAACCCTGTATATGATCTTGGATACACTCTCCATTTAGACATACATAATTGTTTAGCTTGTTCACCCATCTATCCATCCCTATACCCATATTTGCTTTCATTAACAACTCAGTATTGTATTTACAAAGGGGTTCATATTTGTTGTTTGTACTGCCCATGTTATTTATTTTTTAACTGACTTATTTTGCCCAACATAATGTTCTCCAGGTTCATCCATGTTCCAAGATATTTTGGGAACTCATTTCTCTTTATTACTTAGTTATATGTATGTATGTTTCACATTTTACTTATCCACTCATTTGTTGATGGGCACTTGGGCTGTTTCCATCTTTTTGCTATTGAGATTAGTGCTGTGATGAACATAGGTGTGCATAGATCTCTTCGTGTCAACTTCAGTTAGAACCCTAATGTATATACCTAGTTGTAGAATTGGTCAGTCATATGACAGCTTTACCTCCAATTTTTTTGAGGAACTGGCCAGACTATCTTCCTTAATAGCTATATTATTTTGCATTCCCACTAGCAATGGATGAGAGTTCCAAATTTCTATATTCCTCCATCACTTTTTATTTTCTGTTTTTGTTTTGTTATCTTGTCCATCCTAGTGGGAGTGAATTTGTATCTCATTGTGGTTTTGATCTGGTGACTAGGGACATTGAACATCTTTTCATGTGTCTGTTGGTCATTTGAATCCTTTTTGGTGGAGTGTCTGTGTCACTTGCCCAGTTTTTGATTGGGTTGTCTTTTTATTGTTAAGTTCTAGAAGTTTTCTATAAAATTTAGATGTTGGAACCTTTGTTAGTTACATAATTTCCAAAAATTTTTTTCCCAATCTGTAGGTTGTCTCTTTACTCTTTTGATAAAGTCTTTTGATGGACATACATATTTAACTCTTATGAAGTCCCAATTACCTATTTTGTTTTCTGTTATTCATGCATTCATTGTTGTGCCTGATAATCTTTCACTGAAAATAACTAGGCCCCAAAGCTTTGCTCCTGTATTTTAGTTCTTATCAATTTAATACATGCATGTAGTAGCAAAAGAATATGTAATTAAACAAGAGCACCCTATTCATCCTCAGCAAAATATACCTTTAACCATTTCTTGCTTTTAGTTCTTTTGCTTGTTTCCTCCATAATATTAAAACCTGTGGAGGTAATTCTAGATAATATGCTTATAAATCTTTTTCTAAATTATCACCTTTAGATAATGTCATTGACTCTGACATGAAAAGATGAGTATTTAGCTAATTTATATTAACTTCCTCCTTCTCCCTGTTCTCAATCCTTCATATCTATGTTTTGGGTTATAATTTATGTTGTTTTTTGGTTATGCTATTAGTTACTATTGTAAAATTAAGATGAAAAAAATATTTTCTCTGAGAAGAGAACACTAGCATCCAGTGTTGGTGATGAGAAGTCAGAGGCTGGTTCAGTTCTCCTTTCTTTGTAGGTGATTTTGAAATGATCCTCTGTGAGCTCTTAGTATATTCAGTTTATCCTTAAGTGCTGAAATTCAAGATAGTATGACTAGGTCTGGAACTCTTTTCTTTTAACTAGATTGTGCCCTCAGAGACTCTTTCTAGTCTGATGATATAGATCCTTGTTTAGCACTGGGATATTTTCTTCTGTTATTTCTTTGATCATTTTCTCACTTTGTTCTCTCTACTTCCCTATCTGGAATTTATGTTGTTCACAGATTGCACCTCAGTGACACTTACAAAGTACCTTCTTTATGCCAGAAATTGTGGCACTTTTAGGGTGAATAGATGCTGTGAGTGCTTGGAGAATGTTTGCCTTTGAGAATTTGAATTTGTCTGTATTTGTATAAGGACCCCTGGTGACAGAACAGTTAAGTGCTTGGCTGCTAACCAAAAGGTTGGTGGTTCAAACTCACCCAGCAGCTCCGCAAGAGAAAAACCAGATTATCTGCTTCCATAAAGATTAGAAACAACAACAAAAAAAAAACACCAGTGCCATCTAGTAGATTCATTCCAACTCTTAATGACCCTTTAAGACAGAATATAACTACCCCATGGGATTTCCAAAGCTGTTAATCTTTACTGAAGCAGACCACCTCATCTTTCTCCTGCAGAGCAGCTGGTCGGTTTGAATCGCTGACCTTTTGGTTAGCAGCCAAATGCTTTAACCACTATGCCACCAGAGCGCCTTCCATAAAGATACAGCTTAGAAAACCTTATAGGAAAGTCCTATTCTGTCACTGTGATCACTATGAGTCAAAATCTATCTCCTTGACAGCACCCAACAATGATAAATTTTGCATAAAATCAGGAATATTCTTTTAACAACTGAAAAGCAGGAGCATACCAAATTAAATAAACTTTATGTATAGATTTTCTTATTGCTGCTTATTCTTATCTTTTACTTATTCACTATTAGTATTATTCATACTTCTTGTATGTTGCCGTTGAGTCAGCTCCAGCTCATGGGAACCTTGTGTATAACTGAATGAAATGTTGCCCCGTTCTGTGTCATCTTCATGCTCACTGGTATGTTTGAGTCCGTTATTGTGACTGTTGTGTAACTCTGTCTCACTGAGGGTTTCTTTCATTTTTGCTGATGCTGCACTTTTCCAAACATGATATTCTTTTCCAGCAATTAGTCTTTGCCAATGATGGCAAAAGTAAATGAGCCAAAATTTTGCCATCAAAAGGAGCATTTTGCTGGCATTTCTTCTGAGATGCATTTGCTTGTTCTGCTGGCACTCCATGCATGGTACATTTAATATTCTTTGCCAACACCGTGATTCAAATGCAACAATTCTTCTTCTGCCCTCCACTTTCGTTGTCCAGCTTTCACATGCATATGAGTGTGGTGTAGTCTATCAGTAATTATCTTATACATAATAACTTTTAGTTGTTCGTTTATAAATCTTTGTGGTAAAGACAAACAGAATGCTTTATTTCAGCAGAACTACTGGGCTTAAAATTTAGGTTGATCATCTCAATAATTCATTATGGTCTCTAAAGGGAAAAGTTTTTTCTGGGCACCACTTGAGATTTAATTGCAAGCAATAGAAACCAATTTTAACTAATTAAATCTTTAAAAAATATATGTGTTATTGGCAAAATCAAAGGAAGAAGTAAATAATCAGGTCTCAAAAAGGTCAGGTATTAGGGAAGCTCCAGGAATTATAGTAGTTAGAATGAATAGACAGTCTCATTAGAGTGCTGATAGGAGAGTGATTCTCCTCTAAATTTTGTGACATTCTGCTTAAGATTCAGATTGCAAAGAGACTGTTGGCTTCGCTCAGTTCACATGCTCAGTTCTTGTGCAGAAGCAGGACATTAATTGGCAGTTTCACTAAAAGCACAAAAATGGAGGAGGGACAGTTCCCAAAGGAAAAGAAGAGTTGTATCATCAAAAACTGGACGTAGACAACAAATGTTCACTCTGTTCTGTAATGACATGTCAGTGTTCAATTCTAACTCACTTATTGCTTTCTGATCCTAGTGCTGCCTCCTGTGCTTGTGCCAAGACACAGTGAATATAACCCCCAGCTCAGCCTTCTGGCCAAGTTCCGCAGTGCCTCCCTCCACAGTGAACCACTCATGCCACACAATGCCACCTACCCCGACTCCTTCCAGCATCCTCCATATTCTGCATTCCCTCCGTCGCCCAGTCACACTTTCTCGCACCCATGCACTGCCGGCTACCCTCAATCCCCAGGAAGTTCTTCTGAGCCAGAGAGTCCATATCAACACTCAGGTCAGTAAAAACTGCAGTAAACATGAACATATGGTAAAAAAATATGACCCAATGTAATTGTTTGTGGTGAGACAAACCTAATAATTGTATTTAATATCCATATGGTGCTTTACAGTTTACAAAACAGTCTCCTGTACTTTAAATCATTAGATCCTGCTACCTACTTCCCAGGTAATCACGATTATATCCATTTTGAAGCAGTTATGCTGGAAATAAAAAATGTTTTGCTCTGGTTTCTGGTTTTAATCCTCTGAAAATCCACAGAAACTAAATATAATTATTCCCACTGTCTCTAGGAATTTCCAGGGATTTTTTAAAAAAGGAGTAGACACAAGACTAAAATATTTCTTTAATCCAAGCAGAAGACCCCTGGTGGCACAACATTTAAGTGCTCAGCTGCTAATTGAAAGGTCAGCAGTTAGAATACACCAGACACTCAACAGGAGAAAGATATGGCAGTCTGCTTCCATAAAGATTACAGCCTTGGAAACTCTATGGAGCAGTTCTGCCCTGTTCTATAGAGTCACTATGAGTAGGAATTGACAGCAATAGAGTTTGGTTTTAATCCAAGCAAGATTTGGCCTCAGGGCAGGCAACATGGAGGATGAGTGATAGGCCTTTACTTTTGTTCCTTTTTAACAAACAATGCATCACTTGAGTGGGCCAGAGGGTGAGATCTCAACTCTAGCCAGTGCATTTCCCTTTCTTGCTATGTGTAAGCAGGAAAGCATCTTAAATAGATATCTATTCAGTAAATATTTACTGAATTGAAAAGGCATGTGGAAGAGAAAGGGAATGTACCTTCTCCTGTGAGAAGGGGAGAATCAAGTATACACCCACTCCTCACTTATCTACATGGTTAGGTTCCAAAGACCAGGTTGTTATGTGAAAATTGGTGTAATGTGAAAATGTAGTCATCAAATCACAAAATGGAGGATGACTATATAATTACATAACTGCCAATTTTTATCTTTAATAATTGCCAAACCACGAGAATCATGGCCAAACCAAGTTGACACAACTTAGCCAAGTTAACACTTGCCTTGAACCCTAGCATTCATTACTACCAGATGTATGTTGTTGATGTGCGAAATATTCAGATAGTAGGTTTTTTACTATGTCATAAATGGAAATATTGGATAACAAGATAGTTGATAAGTGAGGAGTTGGTGTATTTTCATATTTGCATATGCTACCACATGTGAAAATTAGGTCTAAGATGAGATGATATAGAAGAGATTTATATGCATCTTGTGTGTGAGATAAATAATATCCTGAACTAACAGGTTACTGATGGCCTGAGTAAGTATATTGGATGCCATCATAATCTGCCTCATTCATTCATCTATTAATTTATTTAACTGATATTTATTGCTTATCTATATGCAAACATTGTCTTAGGTTGCTAAAAAGTGAATTCAAGTCAAGAATTTAATTTTACTTAGATCTACAATCAACGCCCATGGAAGTAGCCGTCAAGAAATCCAATAACATATTGTATTGGGCAAATCTGCAGCAGAAGACCTCTTTAAAATGTTAAAAAGCAAAGGGGTAGTGACTGTTAAGAACTAACTATTTGAGTATTAAGGTGCGCCTGACCCAAGATATTTTCAATTATCTCATATGCAAAAGCTGGACAATAAATAAGGAAGACCAAAGAAAAATCGATGCCTTTAAGTTATGGTGTTGGCAAAAAGAGTGAGGGAAATCAAACACTCGTGGAAGCAACTAATTTACTCTGTAAACTTTCCCCTGATCACAAAAGTTTAAAAAATAAATTATGGCATTGGAAAACAATATTAAATATACCATGGACTGCCAGAAGAATGAAGAAATCTGTCTTGGAAGAAGTACAGCCAGAATCATCCTTACGAGTGAGGATGGCGAGTTTATCTCATGGACTTTGGGCATAATATCAGGAGAAACCAGTGCCTGGAGAAGGACATCATGTTTGGTAAAATAGAGGGTCAGAAAAAAAGAGGAAGACCCTCAACAAGATGGATTTACACAGTGGCTGCGAAAAGAGGCTCAAACATAGCAAGGATTATGAGAATTGTACAGGACCGAACAGTGTTTTGTTCTGTTGTACGTAGGGTTGCTATGAGTTGGAACCGATTTTGAAAGCACCTATCAGCAACATCAACAGTTATTAGATTAGACCCTTTGCTACAATATCAGAAATCTGTTAACTCTAATAATCATTATAAATGTACCTCAGTATAATTAGATTTCTTTGTAATCCTATAAAAAGAAAAGAAAATTCACATGAATAAGAATTGACCCTGTCCTCAAAGAATTTGCAAATTATGGGAAGGTAAAGAAGGAATTGTTCCTTCCCTTTCTATTTAGTTCAGTTCTTCCTTTTGCCCTCTTAGTAATTTACACATACATCTACTGTTAGATTTAGCATACTGTATTATGTAATTAAGGAGCTCTGGTAGCATAGTGCTAAGGCATTTGACTGGTAACTGGAAGGCTGGTGGTTCAAACCCACCAGCCACTCCTCAGAAGGCAGTTTGGGCAATCTACTTCCATAGTGATACTGCCTGGGAAACCCAAGGAGGGGTCGCTATGAGTTGGGTCCGACTCCACGACACATAACAACAACAAAATTATGTAATTGCTTTTCTGTCTATTTCCCCCATTAAACTTTGAGCTCTGTGTCTTCTCTTGTTTGTTCATCATTACAAAACTTGGAACATAGTTGCTCATTAGTTGCTTACTGAGTAAATAAATTACCACACAGGCCTTTGGAGCATAGGACTAGAGCTCAGGAATAATGATACAGATTTGACTGATTGATTAAGTAAATGGCAGGTTCTGTACTAGGTGTTAGAGGTACAAGGATGATTGAGACAGTGGTTTCCGACCTTTAAGAGGTAGTGACTATTGAGCAAGATCTTGTAAACAGATATCACCATGATAGATGTTATAGCAATCCAGGCAAGTAATTGTAAGGATTTGAACTGAAGCAGGTACTTGGGTTTACAAAAAAGGTAATGAGTTTGAGATGGTAAGTATCAGTAGCACTTGATGTGGGAATGAAGGCTGAGGTGCCAAGAGGAAGCTTAAGAATGGGACATGGTAGTTGAAGTCTTGTGACTGAATTCACTGAGAAAGAGGAAATAAAGTGAAATCGTTTGAGGACAGAGCCATGTTTAAGGGGCAGGAGATGATTATGCCACAAAATATGTATTTATATAAAACTAATCTGTGCTATAGTGATTGCCTGTATTATCTTAGTATTTCTGTAAACAGGTTGTTGTTATTTTCCTTCTTCCCACCCATGGAAGACAGACCCCAAGAATGGTGCTGGCTAGTTTCTCATGGAGGAAACAGCCCTTTTCATTTAAAAGAATATATTTTTTTCTGAACACAGATAATGCACAGTGGCTAATCGAAAGTTTGAAAGCTGGAGTCCAGTCAGAAATGCCTTGGACTTGAGCCTCCAACCTTTTGGTCTACATCACCCATGAAGGGAATAGCCTTTTTCACTTCAAAGAATCTTTTTTTTTTCCCCCTGAACAGTTAACAGAAAATGCCAACCTGAGTAATAGATCTATAAATAAGACTAAAAGAGAATTTAGAGATCAGTTGGTTCAGCCCCTTCATTTTATAGGAAGATTTCCTCAAGAACTTGCAAAAGAACCACCTGTATTTATAAGTTTTTCACCAGGGTCATAGTTTACTTTCTCATAGTCCCAAGAAATACTTTATCCGTGGTTCCCAGTGTGGTCCAGGGACCACTTGCATTAGAATCCCAGGTGCCTGTTGAAACAGAGATAGCTGCATCCAACTGCTGGTCTGTTGAATAAAAGTTCTGGGCCTTGTCTTAATTATCTAATGCTGCTATAACAGAAATACCACGAGTGGATGGCTTTAAAAAGCAAATCTATTTTCTTGCTGTTTAGGAGGCTCATGGTACCAGCTCTAGGGGAAGGCTGCCTCTATCAGCTCTGGAGGATGGTCCTTATCTCTCTTGAGCTTCTGCTTCTGGGTGCTTTTCATGTGTCTTGGCCTCTCTTCCCCCATCTCTGCTCATTTGTTTTAACTCTTTATGTCTCATAAAATATTGACTTAGGACACACCTAACACTAATCTTGCCTCATTTGCATGTAACAAAGACAGCCCATTCCCAAATGGAATTATAACCACATGTTGGGGGACACAGTTCAATCTGTAACAGGTCTAGAATCTGCAATTTTAATAAGATCCACTTTTTTGGCACCATTAAGTGTGAAAACTACTGGAGTGGACAGTTTAATTCAACAAAGACAGACTTGTCCAACCTTTCTTGCTCTTGAACTCTACCACTAATGTACCATGACTGTTCCGGACCAACTTTAGGAATATATATATAGAAGAAATTAGTTGTTCTGAGATCCTTGCAAGAGCTAATTTGGGGAGTTCCGGCAAGATGGTGGACTAGGCAGAAAGACTGCACAGACCCTCTTCAACAAAGAAAAGCGAAACCAATTAACACAAACACAGAAGATAATCCTGGACCCCTGAGCCTCGAAGGGAAGGATATAGAAGTTGACTAAACCCCAACTAGCAGAAGAATTTGTGTGAAAATACCAAAAAAGGAGACACACAGAGCTGTGGTCTGACAGTGATCCTGAGCGATCCTGATAGCACAGACAGCTGGGAGATACCCGAGTGGTGGTAGGACCTAAGAATTAACCTAAAAATCACCCTGCTAGCCAGGGACTGCACAGAGGCCTGCTCTGCTGGCTGGGGAATAAACGGAAAAAGTGAAGAGAAAGGTGGGCTGAACTGTGTGGACTTTTGCTGGTCCGGAGGGCACCACCATTTTGAAGATTTAAAAGTGGCTTGACTATTTTGGATATTTAAAGAGACAGCATTCTCGCAGATTCCTGGGGCTTAAGAACATGTTCTGCTTTCTAGCAACGGCAAGGACCTGAAAGACTGAAAAAGTACCACATTCCTCTTGTTACTCTTATATGCCACACCTGCTTGGTGAACAAAGGTGTGGCCAT